CTTTACGTCAGGCTTTTCAAATCATTTATTTGAATTTTTCCAATTTTTTTAAATTAGGTGTGTTAAGATGAAATTTGTATCATCAATTAATTGGAATATTGTAAAATAGTGTAATTTGTTGACCAGAATAAAGATTGGGACATATTATTCAGTTACAACAAGAGTGGTATTGACCCTTTAAAAGAAATTTATCATCAGAATATCTTAAACTTCTTCTTGGTATATAAATTTCTCAAAGTATGTTGGCGCGAGATTGTATATACATTTAAAAGTTAAACATACATTATGCAAGAGCTAAATCTGCCAATTGCAGACCTTTCTTTAGGCCTGGAATGTTATCTAAATTATTAATTGGACATTAATTAACTTATCCAGACCATAATCAACTCTCGATGGCATCGCTAGCCTGCGCTGGATTAGAACCCGGTCTGCTGCTTCTGATTTAAACAGTGGATAATCGAGACTTTTTTTTAATCGTACCGACTTTAGTAATGATGATCGAGGCAAGGCCCAAAATTGCATCGCTAAATACTCGCTTCACAGTGGATCAATTTGACTGAAATTTTCAGCATATTCCCTTTACATTATCTAGTTTTTAGAGAACCACCAACTCTTTATCTAATCTCCCATAACGTATCTTTAACAAAATTTTTTAAAAATTAATTCTAAAAGAAAATTGTAACCAATGTAATGTAAAGGGTGTGATATGATCATATTTTCTGATGTGATTTATAAAACGTGCTGCGGTGTTTTGTACTTTCTGCAATTTATCAATCAGTTTTAAAGTTAAGCCGGCTAAACGAGAGGTGATCAAGGCATTAACAAGTATCTTCTTAGTTGCATTTTATCTTATAAATTTTCTAATTTTTATCGAAGATGGCGCCAATATTACGAGCAGATGATGTTGAAACAAAATCACTATTACCATGAGTGAAAGGTGGATCACGGTTTGATTTTGACAAATGCTTGTTTGACCTAATTAGAATATATTCAGTTTTATCGTCAACAAGTTTTAGGAAATGTTTCGACATACATTAACAAATTTCAGAAATACATTGCTCCATTTTAAATTTAGAATTAACAAAGGAATCAGGATTTTTAGATGAAAATGAAATATACAGCCATACGTCATATAAATGAAAACAAAGTGTACTGTAAGACTTGATGTATATACAAGGTAAATAAGTTTACTAAATGTCATTGTGCTTGATAACGATAAGAGGATACTTGTCGAAACGTTGTGCTTTTAGAATAAACCTGTGATTGTTTCCCATAAAAACTGTGTTCTGTTAAACCAAAGAAACTTTTTTATTTTGATTTTAAATGAATGGTATGAAGTGTCTTTTTAATGGCTGCCTAATATACTTGGTTAAACTTATAAAATTGTGTGAGTAGATGTCAAGTTGACATAAACTATATCTTTATAACCAAATCACAAAAAAAACCACCAACTGCAATATTTGTATAATACTGTATGAGTAATCCGATATGAATAGTTTTTTTAATTATACTGAACAGACATTATATGATGATTTATAAATAGATTTTAATCTAAAGGACAATAGAAGATCTCGTGACTTTTATTATAGGCGTAGATCACATCCAATTTTTCCCTTTACTAAAATTTAATTTACATGCACACAAAGACGTATATAAATATGCCAATTGAACCGTGCCTTGACTCATTGCTAAATCATATCACTATGGTAAAATATAGAACAGTAACAAAACCTCGTTTGACGTCAATTTTTATTATGAATTAATACAATGACATTGTGATTCAATTTCATGAATGCAAAGCATTAATTGTGATATCACATAATGTCTATATCATTATCTCGTGCTTTGAGTGCCCATCCTGTCCCAAATCTGACGATAAAGGATAAAGCACACGGCCGAGAAACCTTTCTCATAAAAAGTGTTGATTTACAAAAAAAAATATGTAGCTGAGCAGGGGGGGGGGGGGGGTCGATTAATGCGTGTCTGATTAAGTCCATAGAATAAATTTTATTTCATTGCAATAAATCAGGACGTACATATCTGATTTTTAACGAAGCCTTCATCTCGAACCAAAAGATTTTGGCATTTGACTGATTTGACAATTGAGCAAAATAAACCCAACATTTTCAATGTCCAAGTCAGAGATTAAATGGGTTAGACAGCATTGACACGCGTTTGCTGGGTGTCGAATCCATTGTCCGTTGGTTTATTTGTTTTCGGTAGAATAAGTAATACATTGACCTCCATATTCCTGAAGCAATGGCCCGAGAAATCCCTCTCTGACCATTGCTGGATTAGCTTCTGATACTTGCGCTTTTGGGGGAGTGTGTCTATTCTTCTCGTTCAATCAAATCTATCTAAAAGCACAGCAACATGAGAGCCCTTCGTTTAATCAGGTGTCTTCCCTAAAACTTTGGACAGTGATTTAAGGTATTAAAACGGTGAAAGTGTTGTTCGTCTCAAAACAGTATATCCACAGAGTAAAAATCGTGTTGACAGTTGATAGGCTAGTTTGGCACACAATTAGTTTTTTTTTTTTGCAATATTCTGCTATGCACTGGTTAATTGAGGATAATAAAATCGTGAGTCATGACGTAACATTATGTAAACATATTTGATCCAATTTGGAGCTCTCTGTTTGGTATTGTTACGCAGTAAGCTATTGGTTGTTAATCGGACTATTAACCAGTCATAATTTAGAACAAGAATTTGCAGTGAGTAGTGGTATTAGCTCTAATCAAACGAAACACTGCGAGGAGTATGGTTGACCTCCTGACCTGCAGGGAGAATGGTTCTGTTGTTCAAACTGGGAACGAACCCGGGATATTCTGCTCAATTGCTAATTTCATAGATATATATATTCGTAACATACAGCACGTCTAGACAGAGGAATCTCAACGTTTTCAAGCTGATAATTTATCTCTATGCCCAGTTACTAAATGCCAATAAACGATTATTTACACATTCCTCATAGTGTGATCAGCCTGTTTACATGTCATCAAGTAATTAACATTCATATATGGTTAACTATTGCACCCCTCTATTGGCCTTCTTACTTCTGTGTACTGCCATTTGCTCATTCACGGTATTTAAGCTAAATTTATTGGTTATTTGGGTTATTTAGTCTGCATATAGCCTATCAAATTGGAGATAAAGAAAGCTATCGATACTGGCAAATCCGTGTCCGCAATGGAACTGTTACTAAATATACAATGATGAATTTAATTTACCAATTATTAATTACCATGTCATATTATGCAGTAATATTCGTCAAATTCCGGCTTATTGGCTAATGCATTTCTTAGTTGATCGTAGAAATGGTTCCACTACTGATGTCTTCCGCCTTACTCCAGCCACAGTAGTGGCTTGTCCTACAGAGTTCCTTTGCGCAAGTTTTTTAGTGAAATCACTACAAAAAGGTTACTGGCCTATAGCTCCCTTAATTTACACATAAACTGACCCAAAACAGTACTGCACCTAGCTTAACATATAATAAATCAATTCCTATTGAAATAAAGGTGAAGCCTTACCGCATAGGCCTAATTATATGATTTGATGAAACCCAACTGCTACGCGAAATTTCAACTGGCTGGTGTCATGGCGGCTTGTGTGTAATACGTCATTACAAGACACATCGCTATGCAAATGTAGAACGCATAACCACAAAGAAAAACTGTTCGGTAACTATTTTAGTGGTCCAGTCTTCACTATTTGTCATAGAATTACTTATTCCAATACAAACTGTAATGATATGTGTTGACAATTGTGCGTTTGAACCTATTTGAACTTGCGTAAGGATTCTTAGACTGTATCAATTGTAACGTTAAACACACAGTTTAACGTTACAAGTATAGTAATTAAGTTGATCCTAATACCCCATCCTCTAAACTATTGACACAAGGGCATGTACCATGCAGTTGGGCGTATATAGTCGGTACGTCCATCGGTCCCCCCATCCTCCAACAGTTGACTTGTGAACGCGGTAGAGGTTATGGTTTTTTTAACACTATCTTTTTCAAATTTGGTGTGGTGCATTGTTGTTAATGGAGGAACATCGCCATCACTACTCAGCGTTCCGCACCAGAATGATACCCCATTTCCCTTGCGATCTCGATAGAGGCAATATTGTTTAACGGATTCTTTTTACATTTGGTGGGAAGCATTGGGTTCATGAGGGACGTTCTGCGACTTTCTGTTCCAGTGTTACCATATGTTGTGAACGGGATAGACACTACTTAATTTTTATAGGTCACTAATTGTTTTATCAAAGATGTAGTACCATTGACAACACCAGCGGCTGCCAGGCAGGATACGCCCACATTTTCGAGAGATGGATAGAGAACAAGCTAAAAAGAAAGTGATTTTTCGTACAATCAGGGGCCATAATTCAGGAAGTTAAGTTACGGTCCGATACGCGCGAATATCGAAAGGAACCGGGGCTTTGGGTTATAAACTTACATTTCAAGTTTCATAAAAATAGGATTAAAATTGTGAAGTCTATAGGGTCCACAACTTTGATATACCATATTTTTAAGCTATTTGAGAACGAAGGGCGGCCATTTTGTCTGTCAGTTTTGGGCCGATTTCACGAGATTCGAACTCAGCCGTCCTTAGGGTGTAACGGTGATATAATAATACGTTTTTTTAAATCGGATAAAAATTGTGACCTCTACAGTGTTCACAAGCTAAAAACGTGATTTTTCGTACAATCAGGGGCCATAATCCATGAAGTTACAGTCCGATACATGCCAATATCGAAAGGAACTGAGATCTTAGGGTGATAAACCTATATTTCAAGTTTCATTGAAATCGGATAAAAATTGTGACCTGTAGACTGTTCACAAACAATTGTGGACGGACGGACAGGGGCGACGACAATATACGTCCACATGAAAATGTGGGCGTATAAAAATCCGACACACGCTTGAGGTCAGATTTTACAGAATATCTTTATATTTATGATACATAGGTTATTAATTGCACTTTTATGAATACTCTACCTGGGATTTTACTAAACATCCAACGCCGGTTGTCCGTTCCGAGAAAGGTTTCGATGTGACAATCATTCAGCACACAGAAATCCTCTACTCCATACTTCGAGAATATATCTCTGCCCTAAACGGCTGCCATATCCAAAAAAAAAAAGTATACTGTTTTGTAATGCTGTTCTACCCAGTTTCACATCTGTCATACACACAAAGACTAAATAAACTTTTTTCACTTTTATTAAATGGAAACAGAATAACTACTTTAACAAAATTTTCGAAGTATACTTATATTTTTCGACTAAAATCGTCGATTTAGGACTTAAAATGTCGGTCAACTAGCTTAGTGTCTGTTCCCAAGCGGAGCTAACTGTAGACAGACAGCCTAAGTTTAGTAGGTTTCACAATATCACTGTTTAGATTATGAGAACCCTTCAAAATATTAAATCAAAGGATTCTTCCCCTTACTGTGGTAGGGTTAGTGCACTCATCCCATTCAAATTTCAAAAAGATGTGGCCACAAGACTTTCAACACAGGTCGTGTGATATCATATATTGTTGAAACCTATTTCGGCGACAAATATAGAGAGGTAATATAGGCCTATACTGTTCCTCGGTTCTTTCCTGTGAATAAAGTATTGTTTGTAAAACCAAATTTAAATGTAGGCTAATACAAAATATTTATATAGCTAATAACAGCTAAATGATTATAGAGGTTATTAAACATGTATCAATCCGTCCTTGTATTTAATGTATATCATGAAATAATTTCAGTACTATCTGATATACATTAAATACAAGGACGGAGATTATCCGACACCTTATACTGTTTTGTGGGTTAATTAATTAGCCCAATAGATGAGAGTCCATGGTCATCGTTGCCAGCAATGTGCATACACATATATGACTTGTAGCCAATACTGGCTTTCGTATCTTTTCCGATTACAAAAACACACCCTCCACTGTTGCCATCCTTTACACTTGCATCATGTTTTAAAAATACCACCTTCTTGAGTGGTGCAATACCTTTGGGCGGACTTATGCCTTCACATGGTATTAAACAATCCTGGTGATCAGGATCAGGAAGTGGTTTACCAAAGCGTATTTCCTTGTCTTCTGCATAGGCAATCACAACTACCTGTTGCTCACCATTTGTTTCCCAAGGAAGTCCTTTGAAAAAATAGTCTTTTGCTTTAGTCGGAAGAATTGTTTGATCAAAGAAAAGCCAACTACAATAATTACAACATTTTTCAATTCCGGTGCAACGTGTTTCCTGTGTATTGTTGAAAACAATGCAACATTCAGTGCCCTCTGCAATCGGTTTCGCAGAACGAATGATAAATGTTGGATCACGGGATGCTGTTTTATGAACCTCGAGTAGACCTTTTATAGTGTTTGTCTGGTTTCCATTTATTTGAATGTCTACCACTAGCCAGCGTAAATCCTTCATATCGTTTTCTTGGATGAATTTTGGAACTTCATCCAAAGAAAAAATCGCCTTTTCACTGGACTCACACATCGCAACCAATTTTATTTTCTCTCTGTCGATATGACCTTCTTCGCCAAATCTGTCTTTGTACTCAACACCAACGTTTTTGACAACATAAGCTTCATAATCACAATGTTGACATGGCGTACCTTGTGGCACCTTATTTTGGTTATGTTCAGGGCAGAATGCAATGATCACATGTACACATGTTTGCAAATAAAATTTATTATTAGCCTTAAAGATAATGCCACTTCCATTCACTGACGGACCTTTAACTTGAACGACTCTGTCTGCCATTTTGTTTATAATACTTTCAACTTTTTCTGTACGGTAATCTGGTAATAGATCAGCGTTATTAAACATTTTCCTGCAATATAGTAATATACACAACTTGTTATGGAACTAATTAAAGATGTAAACAATTTTATCGATTGTTAGATTGTTCGTTAAAAATTGGTGGATGTGAATTTTGATACTATCATCTTTATCGTACAGTGAAACACGAAGAATGATGGCCTGGTAACGTCTCCTCAAAGGGATTGTCGGGTAAATAATCTCTTTTTGTTAAATGTGGGTTTCAACGGAATAACTCTACTTATAAAGTCCACAAATAATATGCTATTTGTATAGAAAATATCGGCGGGAACTTGGAAACGAATTCAATGTGGTGGGAAATTACAGACAAGAAGGCTGCCTAGTGGTTTGCACTGTGTCTTGTCTGCTGAAAACTAGTGATTTTTTAAAATTGTGATTATTTTATTGGACTTTTACTTGGCATATTACTTCTTAAATAGTGTATCTTTTAGTTTACAAAATATGATTTTAGAAAGTCTGTGTAGTTTTTGTGATATTGACAATATTAGTTTTTGAATTTGGTGAACTGGGTACTAATGAGCTGAACATTGCTCATGATCACTTATACAAACACCAACTTTTAGCCGTGAATTATACTACAAACTGTGAAAACAATAGAGTGTCTACTGAGTTATGTTACTTTCCTGAGTTGATCTCTGACTTTAAACTTGTGTATTTTAACACCTTTTAACCTACAATAAAAGTTTCAAACGAGCCAAGAAAGATCAAAACAGGTAGAGGAGTAAATGTGGCAAATTTGATTTATGTATCCAAGTTATCCTCCAATTCCTGGCCTATGGATTCCAATTTCAATTTCTGTCTTTTAAACTGGTAGTCCATTAGAAACAAAGCCAATGAAAGTCAAGAATGTATTTTGGATAATGACCTTGATATTCTTGTCTCAATCGAGACCTGGCTGAAAGATGATTGCAGCATTACTCTAAACCAATGTCTTCCAACTAACTACTCTGCATTGGCGACCAATCATACTAGTAAGAGGGGAGGGGGTATAGCAGTCTTTTTCAAGTCCACCATTAAAGCATATAAGATTAAAATAGGTCATTTTGTTAGCTGCCAAATACAACACACCGCCATCAAAAACCATAACGAATTATTTCATCTCTTCTCATTGTATCGGCCTCCTAATTCTGCCTCCGTTGAGACTTTTTCAACGACTTATTGGATATACTTCACGAAATTACGTCATGTGCTGGAAATCTTTTGATATGTGGTGATATAAATCTCCACCTGGATGTTGATTCCAAAACTACTACACATTTCTACGATAGTATAGAATCTTTTGGCCTTGTTCAACATGTAACTAAACCTACTCACAATAAAGGCCACCTACTAGATGTCGTTATTACCCGCAGATCCGACTCTTCAGTGTTCAACTTATCTGTAGACAACCATCTCATTTCTGATCATTTTTCAATCATGGCTAACCGCTCACTTCCAAAACCCAAATCATTACAGAAGACTGTATCATATCGTAAACTGAGAGCTATCAATTTAACCAATTTGAAATCTGATATCTTAAATGACAGTGACCTTAATAAAATTAGCAATTTCTATGATATTTCTGATAAACTTCAAATCTATAATACAGAGCTTCAAAATATATCAATAGCCATACACCTATTGTCAGTAAAACACTCACCATCAGACCAAATCGAAAATAGTACAACGATTCTGTACGTGAAAGCAACCAGACACGCCAGAAGGCAGAAAAAGTCTGGCGTAAGAGTAAGCTTGAAATTGACAGACAAATATATGCATAGGCTCGTAAACATCCTCATCAATCAGACCAAACAGAACTTTGTTTTAAATCGTATACAAGACAATAATAAAAAAACATAAAGAACTGAGCCAAATATTGAACAATATGATGACAACTAGCGACAGTACCGTTTTACCAGAACATTATGATCCCAAACTACTCGCTGAATCTATTAGTCAGTTCTTCAAAAATAAAATTGTAACCATACGTAGGGCATTTGATAATGGTTCTTTATCGGTATCTGATAACGACATTGAAGTTAACTTCACTGGTTCACAACCATCAATGTTTCCAATAGCTGCTGATGATGAAATCAAATCAATCATTTCTACATCCTCTTCTTGTGAGCTAGATGTATTCCCAACCCATCTTGTTTAAAAGTTGTTCTACAGAACGTTTTCCTATTCTTTGTAGCATAGTGAATACATCTCTATCTACTGGAAAACTTCCCGATCAGTTGAAAGAAGCTTCGGTCTTTCCACTACTCAACAGCCTTAACTCGCGTGAATAATGATATCCTTACCAGTCTTGTCAATAAAAATGTGGTATTACTGGTTAGTCTTCATCTGTAGACCTTAATTCGGCGTGCCCCAGGGGTCGGTGCTCGGACCATTGCTCTTTACCGCTTATACCACCTCTAGGGCGTATTGTGAAGTCATTCAATCTGAATTATCATATCTATGCTGATGATACTCAACTCTATATTTCAACTAAACCTTAAAATGAAACTCTTCGAGTGTCTAAATTTGAATCGTGCATTGATGTTATTAAGTGCTGGATGAAAAAGGACTCCTTAAAGCAACATGCGGAAAAAATAGAGTTCGTGCAAATCGGTTCTAATCATCTTTTTTCCAAAATATTTGTTAGTAATATTTCAATCGGTAATTGTGTTGTTAACCAGGTTAATAGTGTTTGTTCGAAATCTTGGTGGAATTTTGGATAAGAATATGAACATGAATGCTCACATCTCTTCAATCTGTTGGACGCTTCCGCAATTTCCTTAACGTTGAATCTAACAAAACTGTTAATTAACCCTTTGGTGACCTCACGCCTCGACTACTGCAACTCATTACTCTACAACTTACCAGCATATCAAATTAATAGACTACAGAAGTTAAAAAACAAAGCTGGAAGAATTGTTACAAGAACTAAATTGTACACCAATATTTCCCCCGTTTTGAAAGAACTCCACTGGCTACCGATTAAGCCCAGAATCGATTTTAAACTTCTCATGCTGACCTTTTGTGCTTTGTCATGTGATGACTCTCCTCTATAATTAATTCAACCCTACCACCCTACTAGAAAACTTCGCTCCGAAACTTAGTACCTTATCAAATCAGTAACTGCAAACTCTTCTTTCGGTAGACGCGCCTTTGCTTTTGCGGCAGCAGAACTGGAATTCTAATGATTTTCCTATAGAACTCAAGCATCAACTGACAGTTTTAAATGGAATCTTAAAACCCATCTTTTTAGAAATGTTTTCTTTTAATTGTTAATCGCGTACTCCTTCTATCT